ACCGAAAGACACGAAATATATCGCCTATAATAATTCTGCATTACCTTTGTGACACGATATATTCATGCTACTTTTGCCTTAAACATGAGGGATCAGTCGGTACAGTGACCGGCTGCGGGCTGAATGGCAGATGGATCAGAGTTCGAGTCCCGGTAGGGTCAAGAGTTTGCTCTTCACAACAGCGTAAAGAACGATTCTGGGGTCGACCCAACCTCCTATCCAATGGTTACATAGTACCCTTTCCCCGGCGGTAAAGCGGCAGGGACGTAAGCTGACCACTCGCCTCAAACTAGTGCCGAGTTCAAGAGTACGTGGATCTATACATCCACTCCTCCATACGCTTTCATGGAGTAGTGCTTAATTAGTTTATTGCAGAGACAACTTCACCTTTTAAACGTTGTCTTGAACGTACATTTTGTTTTCAGGAACTGAAGTTCAGTGACGAGGCCTGAATTGAGAACAGGCAGAGGTTAAATTGAATGTTCACATTCCAGAAGTAAGGAGGGCGCAGAAGAATCAGACATTATATGAAACCCGTCAAAAGTGACGTGAAACTTATCAAAAACGATTTCAGTTTTCAGTTCTTTAAGGAATTACTGTTTCTGCCCCCCTCCCCTGATGAGGGAGATCCCAAATTGTTGGCACGGTGGAGCCCAAGCGGTGAGTCACGCAGCGCAGGGTTGACTAGCAAGAACAACTGCATGGGGATGGTTGGGGGAGCCACTTAAGGGTGCCGTGGGCGAACGATACTTTCAAGAAAGGATTTATTTTTTTGCAGGGATGACCTGATGGCTTGTAAGCCTGTCTTCGGGAGCAGCGGAAATGTTTATTTAAGAGAGAATGAGAGGTTCTGTGTTAGCAATTTGCTTTTCTTTATAAATAAATGACGTAAGTAGCATAGTTGTTGAGGCACTATACTACAAGCCGAAGAGTCGCGGGTTCGAGTCCGATGAGGTGGATTTTTTCAATTGACCTAAACCTTCCAGGCGCACTATGGGGTCGACTCAGCCTCTAACAGAAATGAGTACCAGGAATCAACCAGTGAGGCTGTAGTTATTGTAGTTACGAGTTGTATTTATAAGTGTTCAATAACTCCAATATCCTATCCTAAACCCCGTCGACAGACACACACACACACACACACACGCGTGACAATGTTTTTTATTGTGGATCCTTTCATGTCGCTTTGAAAAATGTTACAGGGCGGTGTTACTTTGATACACTAAAACACATTTAGTGTCGTGAGTAGGTGAGGTTGGAAATGGATTCGGATTGATGGATGTACAAGACATTTCAAAATGGCCGATCAGAAGTCCTAACAGACACGGCTTGCCTCTCTCCAGTGTTTCGGGTTTGAACAGTTAGTCCGATTGAAATGACTCAACTTGAGACGAAAGCTAACGGATGGAGCAGTTTCCTCCGAAATGCTGGTGCTTGTAACAAACTGCACGGTGTAATATCCCAATAGGCCGTAATCTTAATTCTGGGCAGATATTCATGTAGCATCTAAATGAGAGTAACTGACATGAATCGCGTTCAACACCGCCAGCACGTGGACTTGCGGAAGGCCTGTTGCCTCCCTTGTCAGGGACAAACATGTGTGGAGGTCTGAAATAGGATGTGAGGATCGAGCAGAAGTCTGCTGATTTGAATAGTGTCACTAACTGTTTGCGAGCCGCGTGTTGGGCACCGCGCATTGTCTGAGGTACGTTCGGTATAGGTCCTATATGACGTTTCGGAAACTGCGTATCTTTTTATCGATAAGTAAAAATATTGGGAAATGCATCTAGGCCCGACAGACCGAACCCACTGGACCAAGTTCCACGCGTTTCTATCGGACTTAGCAGAGCGCGCAATTTCCCGTATTTGCACCTGAGGGAGGAAATGACATTACACTTCTCGGAAAACTGGGATTACTGGTTTGATTCCTGCTTGGGTATGTGTCCTCTTAGTTTCCTGTGATGACATGTTTTACTTTTATAGCAATTATAGATATAATGTGCCATGAAGCGTCAAACGTAATGATTTGCTGCTGAACAACGCCAATGGATCCGTACTGACTGAAAAAATGATTACGTGACGTCAGCAGTAAACCATGAACATCTATATTACCACGTACATTAGGTAAGTAAAGTAAAAAAAAAGTAAAGCTATTCCTGTAACAAGCCGTGAAGGGCCATAGGGTTGTGAGATGTTGAAGGTCCCACATTATCTAGACAATCAGCTCAAAGATGGCGGTAAGGTTGTCAGCCTTACGCTACGGCCTTCTTTCCTTTAAACGATATTTCTTATGTGTTTTCAACCATTTCCTTTCTCTCAATTAGTAACGAAAGTGACGCAAATCAGTAACTAGAGATGTTAATATAATGAAGGAACACGAATACTTCACAGAGGTTACGGAAATCACTAGTCCATGGATGCAGAAATGGCCGGTTCTTCAACAATTTTCAGTGATTATGTCCTCTGGCTTCTTATAATTTAAAATAAACGCTGAAGTTGTGAAAGTTAAAGGCATCTTATAGCTACGAATATTATGTTTCGTCCTATCTCCGGTAACAAGGACAAGCTCTAGCGATTGGGCCCAACTGAGTAGGATTTATGAAGACGGAGACAGAATCCAGTCTCCGAAACGCTGTATTTTGAGACATAAACAGGACGGTGGATAATGTCCAGAACGTACGAGTAATATCTGTATCAATGTAACATCGTCACAAACTTTTAGATCATATTTGCACCTGGCAGGATTTACACTTTGGGGAGTAGTGGTTGGTATTTACGTGAAATGTCTCCCTCGTAGATGGGAGCAACCTGCACGCCAGTCACTGGCCATACACGCTACCTGAGCGGCTTTATCATGAAGCACGGAGGATTTAGTCTGTCGTGACAGGTACGCTCTTCTGTATTGTAATGATGAGTATTCGGAATCAGCCCGGCGTTCAAGCGCATATCGTCTCCATGTAGGCTGTCGGCCGGGCAAGCTGAGCTTCATCTGGAGAGAACTTTCTTTATTGCTAGTGGGGGTGGGACTAAGTCTCTCGTACTGCGGTCACTTCTGGCCTATTGTACCAGCCCCAGATGATAGGTGAGGGTGATTGTGGAGTAGTTGGTGGAATGAAGATTGGCAGGGGAAACCGAAGTACTCGGAGAAAACCTGCCCCAGCTCCACTTTGTCCACCACAAATCCCACTTGACCAGACATAGGATCGAACCCGGGCCGCCGCGGTGGGAAGCCAGTGACTAACCACTTGAGGTATTGCGTGGCCTTCTGGAGAGGATACTGTAGCATGCAGACCCGTTTCCAAGTAATGACTCCGTAAACAACGGCCGTTGCTAGGTAATGATCGCAAAAGATTCATAACACGCACCAGTGGATAACTGGAAAGCGGTGTTCTCTATGTGGTCTGTGCGACAGCTAAGTAACACAATACAAGAAATGTTGTAGAGGTGTCTTCCATGCGGTCCGTGCCGAGATGTTATACGGAGGACATTAATTCGTGGACTGCAGTGAGTTAGAGAACCGCTGTGGTTCAGTCGTTGTGAGTTGTTGCTGTTAGAAGCTGGTAGCTGGGGTACGGGAACCCAGAATAAGGGGAACGTCCGCCGTTGGAAGCCGCTACCAGGTAATGACTGATGAAGACATGGCAGGCTGAGAAGACTTAGTATGTGATGTAGTGAACTGTAGAGTGTGTGAACTAGCGATAGCGCTATAGTTACTTGCAGTTACTATTTGTAAGTGTTCAATAAATCCAGTGACCAATTCAAACCCCGTCTAGTGTCACTATCATGTGATAATATATTCTTCCGAAACTTCGGGTTCTTCCCGAACTGCACTGCAGCTCTTCACAGTCACCGACTCCAGATACTCAAGTCCAACCCAATTTGTCACAGAGTCAAAGTCTTCACACAAATCCAAGGCAGAGCGTTGTATTGTAATGCAAGGGCGCCTTTACGAGACACCAAAGAGAAGTTCGGAAATTTGAATGGAACGGAAAACAAGAAACATTCTCGGAATGAAACCCGGGTGAAATGGATATTGTAAAGGGCCAATCGAAGTCAGATATAGAAGAAGACATATACACACAGTCGCATTCGAAAATCCGAGACATAATGTTATATTTTAGTGTAACACATCACTCGCCCACCACGAACATCACGTCCAACGAATAAGTCCCAACGCAAATAAAAGTATCCTTCAAAGCTGCATACAGAGAGGCGCATGGATATGAGGAAGGCACCCTAACAAAAACAGAAGGAACAAGAGACGCCGATAGAGGAATTGCACCTGACACCCGCTGATGACGAGTGCACTCCTGTACTGAGATGCAACGGATAGTTGGGCTGTCTACTCAAATTGTCCTGACACTAATTCTAACACTGCCCTCCTCACTCATGCAGCTGAGCCCTTCTTGAGAAGCTGCCAATTGTACAGCTACTCAAGAAATTTCCAGCATTTTATGGAACCCGAAGGTACGTTACCGTGTTCACAAGAGCCATCTACCGGTCCCTATCCTGAGCCAGATCATTACAGTCCATCCCATCCCATCCTATCTCTCTGAGATCCATTTTAATATTGTTCTCCGCTTTGTTCTTGTCAGTAGTTTCCTTCCTTCTGGCTTTCCCACCAATATCCTATATGCATTTCTCCTCTCCCCAATTCGTGTTACATACCCTGCCCACCTCAACCTCCTTGACTTGCGCATTCTAGTTAAACTAGGAGAGAAGTGGTTTTAACACTACCGCCGAATTTTATTGTAAATTAGTTACAGCGAAGCAACCCACGACATATAATACGGTGGAAGATAGTCAGATATGGACGAAACAGGTGCTGCTAACGCGGACAGAGGAAGCAACACATGTGAGCGTAGCAATAACCACACATCCGTTCAACAAAGGCTGAAATAAATACATATGCATGTCACATTTGTCGTATTATTTTGATATTTTAGTAACATTTTCTAGCACAGGATTCTATTAATTACCATAATCAGAGACGTACTTACCTCGACGTCAATTTTGAGGGCGTCCTCGTCAGTGTAGCCCAGACTGCGCATGTGCTTCAGGTATGTGGTCGTGATGGGGAGACTGAAATCGATGTCAGGCGGTTCCACCAACTTCTTTAGGTGATTGTTGTTACGGATATGATTATTGTTGTTAAGACGCTGGTGATTAACACTAGATTTCAGTGTCATAGGTGTGGAATTGGCTCTCTGGTGGTGGTTGTTGTGATGATTATTGTTCAGCTGATGATGGTTGTTCATTCGTCGAGAATTTGTTGGGTTAGGGGAGGATTTCACAGTGACAGGGGATGGCAGGGTGAAGTTATCGGAATCGGTCGAGGGTGTAAGGGGTGTCTGTTCTACGTCTGATGGGGTGTGTGCAAGACTAGGACTAGGGGCGGGTTTGAGGGCGTTGGCTGCAGTAATTGGAGAAGGAGACCGGGGGCGACGCTGACAGTCTGTGCAACCCAGCAGGAAGCGGGTCACCGCCTCTCGGGGTAGAAACGCGTAGGTCTCCGTGATCTGGAAAGCATCAAGAATTCCTGCTGTCATATGCCATGCTTATGGATGTAGGACTGGGCACAAACAAAACAAACTCCATGGCTTTAGTCAGCAAACGAACTATACCGAGCGAGCGACCGCCGCTTGCCGGCGAAGTTAGTGCCAACTTTAGCGGATAGAGCGTCTCACGTGGTCAGCGCAACGAATCTCGACGGGCGTAAATCTCGGTTTCCTAGACCGGAGCCGCTATTTCCTTGAAATAGCTCTTCAATTATCCTCACGAGGCTGAGTGGACCCCGTTCCAGACACACTACTTCAGAGAATCTGGTAGCCTGGGGAATAGAACCCGGAACCTTTGGACCTGTAGCCAGGAACTCTGACCACTAGACCACAGAGGCGGTTCATTGAGGGACAGAGAAGAGAGAAACCGACAGGATCATCAGGGCAAGAAACCTTTGGGCCGAGATACGAACCGGAGACGTCAAGAACATGAAGATGGGAAATAAATACTAAAATAATAAAGCAAGAAGTTCTGGCAAGAACCAATCGCCTACTTTCCTTTGATATGACACGGACTGCATAGAAAACGAAACCAACAGAGGGGTACACACTGGCGCACAAACGGCTTGTTACCTAGCCACAAAGCCGTCCCATAGCTCAGGCGGTTAGTTGCCGGTCTTCTATCTCCGCGGCCCGGGTTCGAGTCCATGTCAGGTCATGCGGGATTTGTGGTGGACAAATTGGCACCGGGGCAGGTTTTCTCCGAGTACTTCGGTTTACCCTGCCAATTCTAATTCCACCGAATTCTCCATCATCATAATCACCGGGTCCAGGTACAATAGGCCAAATAGTGGTCGACGTACCAAGTGGACTCAATCCCAGCCCACTACAATAAACTAAAAAAACACCCTAAAATTAAACTACCTAGCAAAACAAAGGGGAGACACGCAGAGAGATAGAAAGACAATCTCATAAGCCTAGAAAAATAGGAAAGATACATAGATGGACAGACACGGATATACAGACAGACAGCAAGGTTATCACATAAGCCTCTTTCTTTAAATAAGGACTGAAGGATATTCCTAAGATTAGACGCACGATTGGTGATGTCATATCACCATTATCATCAGTAATGGTAGCAGTAGTTTAGTACTGGTGAAATTTATACTCAATTTATTGTGTATACAGTTGTTTATATTTACCATCTGGTGGGAATTTATAAAAATAGTGACAAAAGCACTGTACTCAGCAGTTTCATGTCCTTCAAACAGATTCATGGTGCTTCAGAGTATTGTAAAGAAAAAAAAAGTAAAGCTATCCCTGTAACAGGCTGTGGAGGCTGTGAGACGTCGAGGCTCCCACATCGAGACAGTTGGCTCACAGATGGCAGTAAGGCTGCATATAGTGCATGAAAATGTCTTATTTGTCTGGAGTTCCAAATTTGTGATAGCAGGTGCAGTAACAGAGACCGCAGCTTGGACAGCTTGTGGGCAGTGGCAGCAACCAATCCAGAGTTCTGTATGGGTGAGTGACTGACTGACAGGGGCGACTCACACAAGATGACAAACAAAACCAAAGGTGACCAACCTTTTCTGCTCGTGGCTGAAGTATTTCACCGTTACTAACCGGTTAACCGTTTTTCCGAACTACTCCTGTGCAAGCGTGGTGTGTCTGGTGATTCCCTTGCTGCAAGGCGAAAGTGACCTGCGCAGTACATTATTCTGTCATTTCTGCCGTAGTATATTACGACTTCACATTTACCGTGGGCTTCTGATCTGCGCAACCATAAGCTACGCCCGAAATTCTAATGACAGAGGATTCATTCAATTGTCTATTGTTTATTTAACGATGCTGTCAGTGTCTAGTGCTCAGAGTTCCTGTTACAGATCCAGAGGTCCGGGTTCGATTCCCGGTGCTACCAGATTCTTTCTGAGAAGTAGTGGGTCTGGAACGTGGTCTACTCAGCCTCGTGAGGATAACTGAGGAGCTGTTTCAAGGACATAGCGTCTCCGGTCTAGAAAACCAAAATTAACGGCCTTGGGGATTCGTTGC